CTGCACTATATCACAATAACTTATATTAGTCTGAGCATGACTTCATACAAATTCTCTTCTTTTTTAAAAAGTTTCAACACTTAAAACAAATCCCTCATCCTGTAATTACTATTATGTAATGTAAAGCACAATACATCTACTGGTGCTACAACAGTATATATTTTTTCACATTATTTGTAATTGCTAGATAATATTATAATACTTCATGAACCTTCATGAGAATGCAAAAGCATTCTCAACCTGCCAAAATATTTGATGAAGCTGAGTAACTATGAACTTATAACAGTTACATAGGCTTAAAAAGCAGTTTCTACTACAATGACTATGACTAATGTAATTGTGCATAGGAAAAGAACGGAGGTACAAGAATTTTTTCAGCAAAAGTGAAATTAATCTAACAAAGAATTGAACTGAATTGTCAGGCTGTGACTATGTCCTGGCTATGAAAGTGAATAAATTCAATTGAATCAAAAGTTTAGTTTATCTTTATTATTAGAGTTTTAAGTCATTAACATTATTCCCAAGTACTAATCTTCTAGCTTAAAAACTCTTTTAAGACAAATCACCAGCTACTTTCATCATAAAAATTATTTTACTTTAGTATAATATGTTACACAATTACACAGTGAAGTCGTATTACAAATCAGTGGAATTGAAGAGAGTTTTTGCATGTCTTAGTGGGCAGCAATCAACTGCAATCTCGATCTTCTGCACATGCGCAGATGCACAAAAGTGATGTGAAACTTGAACTGTGCAAAAGATTGAAAGTGCTTTTGATTGTTTTAATGTTCGAGGGTGCAAAACCTCCTTTCAGTTGAACAGCCATTTTTGCTTTTGAAGTCATTGTGTTCACAGAGTTCATGAAATGGAAACAGGATGAATACAGCAATCAAGTATGACGGTTCAATATCACTAACAATATGTACACTAATGTTTCTCCATAAACTGAATATAAGGAAGTATTGTGAAAGGCAAAAGGAAATCCTCTGAAAATATGGCCATAAACCACACATCAGTATACTAAGTAGATTTTTATAAACCAGTTGGGTAATATTCTTCAGACTGTGGTCCATACAAGTCATAAATATTTTAAATCATGCAATTGGACATATTTTTATAGTGTATCCATAGTAAAATTGGTAATTTCAAAAATAAATACAATGAAAACATGAACAAGAACTGAGAAGTGCTATTTGAAACACAGAATTTTTTTTTTAATATTCTGTCATGTAACACACAATAAGTTCCTATCGATGAGAAACAAAATTATGTAAAAGAAATACATGAAATTAAGCATGTGACAAAATTACGAAACAAAAGTGTACGGAAAATGCAATGCAAAGAAAATATATTTTTATGTCGCATGTAAAATTGGTATTTTTTAAAACTAATGTTTCATAAAATTTTTCTATTGTTCTTATTAAATCAACAATATTCAGAGAAAGAAGTTTACTTTCCAACATATTATTTTTCAGTTTTCTTTTCCTACCAAAGTCACTGAAAACTTAAAAATGCGGTTACGGGAAGTGTAGATAAGGGGAAATTATTTTTAACTTCAAAAATATGAATACAGTATAATGCATTTAGAGACTCACAGACAATAAGGATTGTAATATGGTTTAATATGCAGTATTAGATATATATTACTAAACAATACTACAAAGTCAAATAGAAATTTTACCAAAATTTGCGACTTTTAAAAATGAAGGTGTATTAACATCAAAGCATAGTGAATTTAAAATGTTGCAATGACACTCTCACGAGTCCCGCCATCCTTGATGTGCAACAATGTACTCATTGTTGGATGAAGGAAAGACAATAGTATTTTTACAGTAAGAAAAATGTGAAGTTTACATTTACTGTTACTCAATAAAAAGTTTGTTTTCAGCAGTTCGTAATGATTTACACTTTTTTTTTTAAATTTATTTATGAAATAATAGAAAAGTGGATTCATTAAACAAATTTACAATTAAAAACATATGGAGAATCCCATACTTTGATGTTTAAGTTATTAAAGAATGGGAACAAATTACGTTTATTGCAGAATGAGAATGTGTTAAATTGTGTAGAAGGATGATGTAAATAAACAATTGATCATGAAGCTAACATTCTTACACCTGTGTCACATGAGCATTGTGTTGACGCACATTACCTAATACCGATGACATCAGCTGTGTTGGATGCCTGTGCACACTAGTCATTTAACACATGTCGTAGATTAACACTGCATCAGATGCGAAACGGCCCACAAGTGCTCTTGGCAACGTGCGTTGTGCCCATAGTTCAAGCAAGACACTATCTAAAACGTGAGGCAAGAAAGTGCGCGTTGTCTAGCTTTCAACGTGTGACACCTGCTAGGTAACTAGCATTGGCAACAATGCACGTTCCAGATGGTGTTATGCCAAGCTGACTGTTGTAAATTGAGGGAAAATTTTAATTATACTATTGTAAAAGTGGGGTGTTTATAACATAAACATATGGAAACTGATGCGACCAATGAAAAATGTAAATGCCAGGAAAGTGTAAATTACGGTAACGTAAAAGCAGGGTTTAACTGCATTTAATTATTTTTAGGGAAATAGGTTTTTGTCAATTAGTTGCTATTTTATAAATACAAAAAAGAAACTCACCAGCAATGGCTTTCTCCAATTCTTTTCCAGCAATCTTAACACCTTGAGCAGCCATAATTTCTTTGTACTCTACATAAGCATTCTGTAAACCATATTAATGTCATTTAAGGATTTACCATTTTAATACTCCATCACCAATTGAAAAATTTAGGATGAGAAAAAATCTAATAATCAATTCTTACTTTAACTCTCAGTTCCTTCATAGGTTGAGGCATAAGCAGTGAACGAATCTGAGTAACAATTGGACCATCTGTACCGGCTAATACCATTGTATCTCCTTCCCGCAGTTTTCCATTCACCAAAATGGCATCGATTGTTGTACCTAAGCCTGGTATAGCTTTTACTTCCAAAACAGTAGCCTATGTGACACAAAAACAAACAAGTATTAACAATAATAAACACACAAAACACAGTTTGAAGTATAAGGTGTGCCCATATAAAAAGGAGGTCATAGCCATAGCGACGTTGTGTCAACTCCCCGTATGTGAATGTGGAAGTCGATAGATGGGACAGTAGTTTTTGCCTAGTAGTCCTAGGAAGAGACAAGGAACGTCTCAGCGATTGCCTCAGTTTGGTTGTGTTGTTTCCGTAGTTCGTAGCATGATGGATGCCTCAAGAGCAGCTATGCAATTTCTTCACATAGAACATTAGCATGTGTCTTGAATTTATTGCAGGATGCACAATGTCTTGCATGGTGTATGAAATTCTGGTGGTGACAGCGTTATGTGGCGGGACACGTAAACATCAAGGACTTACCACGCCTGGGGCAGGCGCATATTGTGACCAACAGTGCCACTACTGTGGCTGTGGATGAGCTCATACAGTAAGATTCATTGGATCACCTTACACAAAATTGCTGCTGAACTAGTGATAAACAAAGGAACAGTATATCACATCACCCACACAAAGCTGGGGTGTGTCCAAGAAGACCCTCATGCTCTTTGTGAAATTTCACTGCGATGTTTAGCAAAAGCCTCCTTACAGTCCTGATATCTCCCCGTGCAACTCTGATATATTCAGCCCCTTATAATTTTTTTTTGAAATGTCAAGAGAATCACCTCTGACAAGGATTTGCTAGCCACAATGGAACAGGGGATATCTCAGCAACCTAAGAGTTATTACAAGGAAGCAATCCACACCCTTCCTATGCGCTGGGGTAAGTGTATCAATGTAAATGGTGATTATTGATAGGTGTACTGTTCCGAATGAAATGTAATTCGCATGTTAGCATTCAAGTTTCTTTCTATGTCACTGGAGTCTTCTTTTCATTTCGGTACACCTTATACTATAAAGGAAATCAGTAACTTGGATGAAATTTACTAATGAGATTACAAAGTCAAAGTAAGGATAAAAAAAATTCTGAAAGTAAAGTCTTAAAAGCAGAAAATATTTGTTTTGAGATAAGGAGTATTAACTACAAAATATTAACACAAGAGGTTTTATAAGAAATATATACAAACATAGCACCAAAAGTTTCTGGTATATTTATGTCACAGTAAAAATTAAAGTGCCAAAAGGTAATTAATTAAACATTAAATAACAGAGGCCAATTTGTGGCAGCCACATATAGATAAGTCATGTGAATATATTATACTACATCATTTTGAACAATGTTGAAACTCAAGAAACAAACTTCAGTGTATTACTTTCTAAAGGTCTTAATTCCAATTATTTTTTAAATTTTGGACAGTTTGAAAAAATTGTATTACCCTCATTTTAACTACAAAGAAATGGGCAATACAATTTTAATTGGGCTAAGGAAGTTGAAGTTAGTCTGTATCTGTTTTCCCACTTCTGAGGCTTCAAAGAACTTCTGCTTACGTGTTTGTTCACACATTGTCTTTGTCCAAGACATTTTTTCCCATTGACTTTGTCTGTTAAAAACTCCAGGCACATTTATCATACACACTTATCATGGTGGCCCAATCTATTACCAAAGTGGCTCATTTGTCCTTCACTGGCGATATATACATACTGTGATAAAGGAAACTTTTGGCACTTTTAACTAATTCTTGATATTCTCCGAAAAACTCACCAAACCAATGAAATAAATTATTTTCACAGTAACATCTATTGGACTGACAATGAAATATACTCACTTGTAATTCTTCAGAATACATCAATCGTTTTGCTAGCATATTCTGACAGCTTTGAACTATTAAAGCAAGCAAATTCCCCATTCCTTCTCCAGTTATGGCACTTGTAGGAACCAAAGAAACATAGCTACGAACATCTGGATTCTCATAAAATAAAGCAGCATTCAAACCCTAAAAATAATAAACAGTTACTGCAAAATCTCTTAAATTGAGATTCAATTACTTATTTTTACTACAGTACATTAAAAAAAAAGCATTACATAAGAAAAGTGTCAATATGTTTTACCAATGGAATATTGTTTATAGAGGAATTACTAAACAAATAAAAATACAAAAGTACCTGCTCTGCAAACTGAACTATAACTTCTTTTGTTCTCTGCTCAAATTCCAATTGAGTATTAGCAGCTTGTCCCTTAATGACATCCTGAATATCTTTCCTACTCATGGTCTGCCAATCATACAACCTAAAACATTTTATTTCAGAAGATTAAATGCTTGAAAGTCTGTTATACCGATTTTCATAACACTTAAATTCTTCATATCAAAATAGATAACTGGGAGCATCTAAATGGTAATTTTTCTTTATGTGTAGTCTCTCCACAAACATTTCATATTACTCAATGAATCACTGAGAGGCAAAAAACCATACATTTTCATGAACAGCACTGCACAAATCACAGAATATTAGAGGGCCTTCAGAATAGCGAGAAAAGCACCCTATTTTCTTTCTACCAACTTTACACACAGTACCATTATAATTGTCACAACATTGGGTTTATTTTGTTAGAAACATTTGATAGATTATTTTGCACAACCTTTAAAATTATTTTTTCCATGTTTCAACAATATAATTCTTATTAGCTACACAATGTGAATATGAAATTATACAAAATTCATCCTTATTTACCATCAATGGCAAGTTGCATTCAAAATAAGTTGTTTCTATCTGCAAGTCTCTGGCCACTTCAAAGCAGTTACTTTTTATTGAAATACATTGTTGATTTACAGAGGTCAATAGTTT